TTTTCATGAAACGATGGGAGCCGACTTCATATAACGTTCATTAATATTTTCGCCATGATGGATCCAACTGAGATACCTCTGTAGGTGTGAGGTGTTGAGGGTCTTCTTTCTGTTTCCATGATGCACTCACGCGTGACAAACCCCACTTTTTGAGGATACCTTTCATAAAATAGAGAAACTTGTTATTGAATTCGAGGAGAAAGTAACCAATTTTCAAAAGTTCAACCTTAATGTCGTCGATGCTTTATTTTATTATATATATATATATATATATATATATATATATATATATATATATATATATACGTTTCATTAAATAATATAGACAAGTGTTGTCTATTTATTTTATGTAAAATTTTTTTCGTAACATCTGATAAGTTTAATAACATTATCGTTGAACGAAGAAAGAAATTCACAATATTGATCCATATTTTTTTAATACAATCTAAATTTTCGGCTTACATAAGCCATTATCAAAGATGTCAATTACAACATATTAAGCAATATACGGACAAGACAGTGATGATAGTCTGTCAATGTTTACATAGATGATTTCTAAGCAACGATAAACACGTGCAAATAAGACACTAGAAGCGAAAATCGCACCGCATCTCATGACATCACACATGACCACACGAGAGTGAATTGGAGAAGTATGAAATATGGAAAGCCGTTGGTATAAACCAATGGCTTCTGTTACCAATTATAGACATTTAAGAATATTTGTAGAGATGCCATAATTGATTTTGTTTAGGTTGGGTTTCAACTGTTTGATGTATAATGCTTCAAGGATTTTTAGTTTTTGTCTATTGTTTTCATGTCGAAGTATAATTGTGTTTTCGACAAGTATTTTACGTAATTGTGTGTGCGGGCAGGCATGTTGTTTTAAATGCCTAAAAATGTTAAAAATATATATATGCACCCTACAAATTAGCTGAAGTTATTGCAAAAATACTAAATCCGTTTTTAGGCGCCATTAACCCGACACTCATGACGCACTCTGGTGACTTAATCTAGAGGATAAGACACGCAAAGATGAAAAACAAGGTTGTGGCTGGCCTAGATATCAAATCATTATAGACGATATATACCTGTCACAAAATGCCTCAGCATATTAAGTTACCACTTCAAAAATCCAACGAAAAAGTTTCTCTACCGAAGTGAAACATGTTAGATTGATATCAAAAAATATATTCATGATAAGAACTTTTCCATAAAACCGTAGGCTTAGACGCAATTAATTGAATTTTGATCTGAAATATTCAATGTACCGGGTGTAACGGCAAAATTGTCCAAATTGTGTAACAGCAAAATTGCCCAATTGTTAGATTAAGCTTTAAACCGACGTATATTAGAAATGATTACAGATATCATACTGGAATTCTCCGCGGTTTTTATAACCCTATTGGACTCTACTTTGAGCAAAAAGAATGTATAATGACTCTCCAATCTTAGCAGAAGAATCATGATGAAATCGATCATAAACGAAAATGACATGTTCAGCATTAATTAATCATAGGTAAGGATCAGAAGCTCATGAAGGATTAAAAGAAAGTTCATATATATATATATATATATATATATATATATATATATATATATATATATATATATATCCAGGATAATTTTCCAACTTATTCAAGATGATCTTCGCCCTCTAAAACTTCTACCTGGAGTAACAAAGTGCCTCCCATGATTTCATTTTCAAGTCTTTTTTCACTGTTCTTTGGACTGTTATAGCTGAAACTCCTCTCTCATGTGCCAAATGTCATGAATTGAGTTGGATCTTTTCTAATTGATCTCTTTAGCGCTAAAGTGAAATGATGATACTTCTTCCTGTTGTGAACACCTGATCCAGTTTTTCTATCCACTGTCCTCCTTTTTTTTAAAAACTTATTCACCGTTCTCTTGATGGTTCTTGAATTGACTTTGAAGATGGAAGCCATAGTATGAATGTTGGTACCATTGCTGAAGGCCTGAATTTTTTTCCTTTCACCATTTTGTTCATTTGATAGAAAATTGGTCTGACACAAGACGATTTTAACCTGTTCTCTTTCTAGCTGATTAACTCAAAGCGTTTTTCAGTGATTCTTACGACAAATGGTGTCAAGATGGTTAAACGTCTTATCTGAAAACCTGGAAAAAAAGGAACTCAATTAGTTTAGTGGTTTTTACATATTAAACATTTTGTAGGATGAACAATTATGCTGTAACACGATTTGGACAATTTTGCTGTTACACCCGGTATAATGTTTGTTCCATCTTGGGAAGCGATGGGTGAAGAGCATTGAAGTCGAAGTATATTATGTTGAAAATAACTATTTGTTGTGTTTTTATTACTTCAAAAGTTATTATTAGTGGATAGTCGTATGTGAAATAGACGCCTCGTTTTTTATTTTAAATAGTGCGTATTACGTCTATCAGCATGTGCTTTTGATAAATCTTAATAAATAAAATGTGTTTTCAGGCGGGGATCAAACCTGTGTCCCTCTTTCGTAGATGCCACCGTTTGATCCGTCGTGTTTTATCACTCAGCTACAGAGAGCGACAGAGTTCAGTAAGACTCTTTTTTCCCTTCAGAGGGAATAACACTTGTTATTTGAGATATTTTTTCTAGAAAATCCCGCTTCTGCTCATTTTCGTATTCGAAACGTAAACAAAATAATTTCTAGAGAATTAATGGATTTATTTTTAATCCGATTTTTTTGATATTTTAAAATTTTCTTTCAAATACGAATATCCGCTGTAATACCGTTTGAAGTAATAAAAATGTCGGATTAAAAGATAATCCAATAAGCTCATAAATATTTGTGGAAAGCAATGGACTTATTGATGTTCCTATGTATGTTTCCAAATGCTATTCTTTCTAGTTATGGATTGTCTAATGTAAAACAAGGATGTCTTCATACTGGATTTATTCAACCAATACAGCGAGACAATTCTTAGAGAATAAGATGTCCTACCAGGACTCATTATTGGCGGCGACAATCTTAACAAAATAAAATATGGAGATGACATAGTGTTGATAACAGACATTGAAAGGGAACTACAAAAGCTCGCACAGAAGTTAACGAAGGAAAGCGAGAAAAAAAGGTTTAAGTATTAACTACAAAAAGACAGAATGAATGGTTATCAGAAAAAAGGATGAACTCAAAATGCAAATTACAAATGGGGTATAATAAAATCAAACAAGTACAAAAATTTAAATATTTGGGAAGGGTTTTAATAGAAGACGGAAAGTGCGACACTGAGATCCGAAGATGTATTGGAACGGTCAAAGATGCCTTCCAAAAGCTAAGCAGAAGATTAAGAGAGAAAAACTTCGTTAAAAACAAAGAAAAGAATATTGAACTGTTACGTGATATCTGTCCTCCTGTATGGCAGTGAATGCTGGGCAATCTCCTCAAAATTGAGAAAGAGACTTGAAGCAATAAAAATGTGATTCTACAGAAGGATGCTAAGGATATCATGGACCGAAAATGTGAGCAACATCGAGGTTTCGGAGAAAATAGCAACAAAAAGGAAACTTATACTTAACTTCAGGAAGAGTCAGTTGAAATTTCTGGAGCACATAACGCGGAAGGTGGGCTTGGAAAATCTGATACTCATAGGACAGATTGAGGGAAAGAGGGACAAAGGAAAACAAAGCTTAACATACTTGATGACCTTGAGTAAATGGATGATAGAACATGCTTTGGGGAAAATAATAAAAAGACATGTATTAGGTTGTGACGTATGAAATGATACATTTTTTGGTTGGTTGTTGATCTGGTCGTCTATGGTAACCTCTTTAGAATATAAAAATTTGACTAATTCCTGATTATTTTTCTTTCCAGATAATTTTTCTTCAAATATATTGACAATAAAAATGATTACAATGAATGTCCAGTAATCTTACTGTATGAGTTCAAATTGGGAAAAAGAACCATTTTTGCATCGAATCATTACATGCAATGAGAAATGGGTAGTCTTTGACAATATTAAGATAGAAGGCCAATGATTAGATGCAAGTGAATCACCAAAATACTACCCAAAACCTCCACTGCATCCTAAAAGTTAATGGTTACTGCATGGTTGTCTTTCAAAGAGGTTACTCATTATTCATTCTTGGAGGGAAAACAATAACAGCAACCTCGTATTATAGAGAAATTGAATGAAGGCACGAACAAATTGAAAAAGAAACATCCTAGACTTGTGAATAGGCTATGGCTCAATTTTGCTGCACGACAACACACGACCGAGCGCTTCTCAGTCAATTGTCCAAAAGCTACATGAATTATAAAATTTTGCCTTCTCATCCTCCATATTCACCTGATATCTCTCCAACTGATTATCACTTATTTAAGCATTTTGAGCTCTTCATACGCAATAAAACATCCATTAATAAGGACGAGGTCATCGAAATATTTGAACTGTTTATCACATCAAAGGATTAGAATTTTTTCAAAGATTGGATCAAGGATTTAAAAGTACGTTGGAGAACAGTCATTTATCAATATGGTGCCTATTTCAGCTAAATAAATTAGTTTAACATTTCAGAAGCGTTTTATTCATTTCCTATAAAGTGCATCATGTCATATGTGACAACCTAATATAATTTTTTTTTAATTCCACAAGAAAAACTGAAAATGTAGAAGCACGAATTTATTACAATATACAACTTAATAAAATAAATTATATAGAAAACCTTTATCATCCTACATAAAACATTTATTATCGTACAAAAAACATTTTTTCCAGCCTTTAGATCTGCAAATCTTTCCGCGGCACTTTCTACGCCTATCTTCTTTACAAGATCATTTTCTGTTGACAAAATAGCCAAAGAATTTGTTTTTAAATGTTTTACTTTTTGGAAGATCCCAAACACATGATATGGCGGCATGATGGCGCCCTCGGCCTTGATGGCTCCCCGGGGTACTGCGCGAATTGCCAGTACCTTGTGCCAGTACTACTGGTATCAAAGACTAAGTTGCCTCGCTACATCAAAAGGAACATTCATGTCAGATATAATGTACATAGATAAACAGATACAGACAGACAGATAGCAAGGCAGATAGATATAAAAATAAACAGAAATATGAATGGATACATATGAACAAAGTAAGATATGAATAGATAGATAGATAAATAGAGAAAGAGAGAGAGAGATGAAAAAGGAAAGCGAGATAGAGATAGAGAGAGAGAGAGATGAAAAAAGATAGATAGAGAGAGAAGAAAAAGGATAGATACATATGAAAATGTAAAGATAGATAAATAGATGGATACGAAAAAGTGTAGATAGACAGAAATATAGATAGAAAGATATCAAAAGGTGAAGATAGATATGCAGAGGTCACACTAGATAGATAGATAGATATGAAAAGATGAAGATAGATATAGACAGAAATAGATAGATAGATAGATAGATAGATATGCAAAAGTGAAAATAGATAGATATGAAAAGGTGAAACCAGATAGACAGATAGATATGAAAAGATGAAGATAGATATGAACAGACTGAGATAGATAGATAGATAGATAGATAGATAGATAGATAGATAGATATGCAAAAGTGAAAATAGATAGATATGAAAAGGTGAAACCAGATAGACAGATAGATATGAAAAGATGAAGATAGATATGAACAGACCGAGATAGATAGATAGATAGATAGATAGATAGATATGCAAAAGTGAAAATAGATATGAAAAGGTGAAACTCGACAGATAAATATGAAAAGATGAAGATAGATATGAACAGACTGAGATAGATAGATAGATAGATAGATAGATAGATAGATAGATAGATAGATAGATAGATAGGCAGGCAGGCGTTTTGGCGAATGCATCAACTCTACTCACGTGCAAACATCTTCACCAATCTCGCACGTGTATAAACACGCCGCGTAAAGAGAAAAAATAAATCCTACACATAAACAAATCTATTGCGCTCATCTGTCGTTTTGTTCATAAAATTAAAAATAAAATAAAAAGTCACGCACTCACAGATTTAAGGGAAATCATCTCTTAGAATTGTTTGTTGTACTGATACGCATGCAACTACAACAGATTTTTCGAAACTTACAAATCATAACAATGTTGAAAATTGTGAATAACAATAGCTATGCTATTTTCTTAGCTTTATTATTATTATTGTCTAATGCCTCTTTGTGTCTGGTACGCAGTTATTTCGTTTGTGTAAATACAACTGAAGCAAATACACACAATAGGCGTAAATGCATAATATCTGCTTTCTTGTTTCTGAGTACAACCATTGCTTGATATCGCATCATTCCACAGTTTAACCATTGCGCACCAAGAATTTGGTCTTTTAACCCAGCCAGGGACAAATATTCTCCCCGACATTGTTAAAGCGGTTTTTTCGGCTATGCCAACCAACTGCGCTCGAAACACGTGCATGCATAGATATATAAATACATGCATCTATGCACACACACATGCACATAGACATACAGATTTTATTATGCCATTCAAAGGTTTCGAAATAAAATTTCACGAGCTAATGTTGACGAAATTACCAGCAGATTAATATTTAATTTATATGATAAATATACCTTGGGAATTTCAGCCTATGATTTATTTTTTTTCAAAAACAATTATTTACAATTTATTTATTTGGTGCCGTGAGATTTTATTATGCAAATGAAGGATTGTTCTTTAATAATATTTCTCGAACATTCAGGCCGGTAGATGAAAATAAATAAATAGACTGTTTAATAAATAAACGGAGCGTCTACTTAAATACGAGTATCCACTAAAAATAACGTTTAATAAATATCTGTCAGATTAATAAATAAATAAAAAATGCTTCTTTACAAATTCCTTTGTTTGCGTTAAGATACGAAAACTGAGCAGATATGTCTATTTCAAGATTGATTAAACAGTATATTGATTTATTTTCGTCTAATTGCCTGAATGTTCGAGAAATCTTATTAAAGAAACAATTATTTGGCGCTCTTCGACAGGAATCAAACTTGCGTGCCACATGGCAGAAAGAACTACCATTTCTCCCGGTACGTCTTATCGCTTACCTATCGGTTTAATAAAAATCCAAAATATATTCTATATATATATATATATATATATATATATATATATATGAAGAAATATCGTTTTAAGGTATGCTATATTTATGGGATAAAGTGCTCAATATCAGAGAGAGAGCGTATGTAAATAGAAAAGTGAATATAGAAGTCAACACTCAGAGGCGACAGACTGTTTCTTGTTAAACGCAAACATCAGGCCTGACGATCAAACATTTAGCATGAAACAGTCTGTCGCCTCTGAGTGTTGACTTCAATCTTCACACACACACACACACACACACACACATATATATATATATATTCATCGGTATCACCCCAAACGAGGCAGCAAAGCCGCTAAGAAACAAGGTCATAAGGAGTGTGGAATAAATAAGAACAGAAACATGAATGATGAGCAGAAAGAAAAAAGAGCAATCAGGCGGGCCAAAGATAGCGATTGATATTGCATTTAAATTTTGCAGATTAAAGCTGGCTGGAAAGCATGGTGCCGAAACTTACTGTTACATCTATCAAGCTCAACTGTAAACTGATGCGATCTCGATGCCAGTCTTGTACTGCGCTTAAATTCATAAAGTCTAGGTACCATAGCGAAGAGCTTATCCGAATAATTAATGTAAAATATTTATAGAAAACACATAGAGAGGCAAACTTAGGCCGGTGGGAAAGTGACTGAAGCCGAGATGCCAGATCAAGACCAATAATATTGCTGATTCTTCTTTGGATCTTATCAAGGAGCTCAAGGTAAATAGCAGGGGCACCGGACCATATGTGGCATCAATATTCTAAGTATAGTCGAATGGTAGACTAATAGATATGCAAGATAGATTCAGGAGAGAAAAATTGTCTTGCCCGACACAGTGAACCGACCTTTTTTAGCAACTGAAACCTGCAATGGATTCAATATAGTCTTTCCACTTCATATATACTGAGAACGTTAATCAGAGAAGGCGCAACGAGTCACTTTCCTGGAGGTTAGCATCAGCCATACTGACGGAAGATAGAGGGGGGTTCTCTCAGATGGTTAATAAAGAGAAGTTTAGTTTTGTTGGCTTAGAATTAACAAGCCATCTTTTGCCCTAGTTAACAATAGATTTGAGATCGTTTTGGACATCGGCTGCCATTTTGACCTTGTCGGACGGATCATCCTTACTCTTGAGGCAGGAATAAATGGTTTGATCGTCAGTGTAGATGCCATGTTGAGAGCTGATGTCATCGGGAAGGTCTTTAATGTATTAACAGCGTAAGACCAAGGATGGAGCGCAGGGTGCCACCAGTTTTAGTACGAAAAGATCTAGACGAGTGGTCATTCAGGATAACTTTCATTTCACGATTTGATAGGAGACACTTTTCAACCTGTGGTAAAGTTTTGTATGCCAGAACCATAAGGCTTCCGAGATGTCTAATACTACAGACCGAGCTTCACCGTTTATTATCAAGAGCATGATAATTTCGCAATTATCTTTACATCAGCAGTTCATCTGGAGAAACGAAAGCCGTATGGATTGTCTGAGAAAAGGCCATGCGATGAGAGATGATGAACCAATGGAGCTTTGATTAGGGCCTCTAGGAGTTTCCATAGTTGAGATAGAAGGCTAATAGGCCAGTAGATAGAAGGGTCGAATATTTCACCCGATTTCTTAAAAGCCGTAACAACAGACGATGACTTCCAGCAGGCAGGAAAGCAAGAGGCAGTGAGGCATTTATACAGTTTAGAGAGAACAGGGGCCAGTTCAGGAGCAGACTTCTCAGGGATACCATCGGGTTCACATGCTTTGTGGGGATCAAGGTTAGAGGTTAAAGATGATCAAATTGATTGAAGAGGGGGTGAATAGAGAGCATGCACTTATTTAATAGCCTATTACAGAGACGTCTGTAATCACGAGAGCCAAAGTTGTTAGAGGCTATGCGGTGCCTCATTCTCTCAGGGACTTAGCTCCTTCGACGACTCGCTTATATTAATTACGAGCAGTAACGAATAGGCACCTATTGTGACGAGAGCTGTTACACTGGTATAGCCGAAAATAGTGGTTCCTGCGTGCTACAGGGGTCGAGCATGCAGGTTTGAACCATAGAGAGGACTAAAATTTCACCTGGTATTGCTGAGCACAGATGAAAGCGTCCATGCCGGGTTTGGCTCACGAAGAAACACCAGTGGCGCAATTTTCATTTCTGGGGTTGATTTCATGGGTCGTCACGAAGAAAACCACGGAGTGACTCCCAATTAGCATGATGGTAACGGAAAGAGGTCTTATGGATAGGGGGTTCCTGTTTGGAACGAAATATCAATAGCTACCACAGAGTGGTCCGAATGATCAAGAGGTCAGTACTGCGAAGCTCGGTAAGAGCGAGAAGAAGGGTTAAGAAATAAATTAAATAGGGAAGCCTGTTGCTAAGTTTTGCTAGGGAAACGAGTGGGGAAGTCCACAATTTGTGTAAGAGATTGGGCATATATATATATATATATATATATATATATATATATATATATATATATATATATATATGCCCAATCCTTTACACAAATCGTGGACAGTGGAGATAATGGATAGCAGCTTGGATTGAGGAATCAGCTCAAAGTTCGAAGTCCAGTCGAATTCAGTTACTTGCTGATACCTTTAGGAAAGGTATGAATCCCCTTCTTTTCCCTCTAGCTATGGGTAAATAGCAGAACAGACTCGGTTCTATAGCCTTGGATGGAAACTAGTCTAGAAGAAGGACAACTCTGAATTCAAAACGTGCGGAGCGTCGTTTGGAGACCATGTGGCACGTAATGCACCAGGTCTCTGTATTCGGCCCTTCAAAAAGTGCGGGTGGTTCTGCGCAAAACCTTCACCACTATAATCAAATCTCATGTGCTGGTGTCGGGTTTTCGTTTCCTAGCAACTGATCTACTTGACCCTCATACATCGAATTCGACGGGAGAGTCGAACATACATATATATATATATATATATATATATATATATATATATAGAGAGAGAGAGACAGAGACAAGGAACGATAGATAGACAGAGAGCGTATTTCTTTTTTATATGTGCCGTATCGTTTCAGGACGTTGGCTCTCCACAGTTTCCTGTTCCTTTGTTGTTTTTTATTTCTGCTAAATCTTGTTCCGCCATCTACTTACTCAAGCTCACTAAGTATGTTATGCGCTTGTTTAACTCCGTTTTTTTCCTCCGTAGTTTATCGTCACACCCAGGACGCGGATGTAGTTTATCGTCATACCCAGGACGCGGATGTAGTTTATCATCTTACCCAGGACGCGGGTGTAGCTTATCGTCACACCCAGGACGCGAAGGTAGTTTATCGTCTTACCCAGGATTCGGATGTAGTTTAAAGTCTTTACCAATGACTCGGGTGTAGTTTATAGTCTTTACCAATGACTCGGATGTAGTTTATCGTCTTAACCAGGACTTGGATGTAGTTTATCGTCTTACCCAGGACGCGAATGTAGATTATCGTCTTACCAAGGACTCGAATGTAGCTTATCGTCTTACCCAGGACTCGGATGTAGTTTTTGTCTTACCCAGGATGCGGATGTAGCTTATCGTCTTACCCAGGACTTGGATATAGTTTATCGGCTTACCAAGGACGGAGAAACGATAGAGTATATTCGTCATTTCTCGTAGGTGTTAACATTCAATAAGCACATGTACTTTTATGAGACTTCAGCCACACTGGTGTCTCGTTTTTTGTTTTGTTTGGTTTTGTTTTTTAATATTTTAATTATGTTTAGAAGATTAAAAGAAGATTTCGTTCTTTGTTGAATACAAATACTAAAA